GCTGCTGGGGGTTTATGCAGCAGCACCCTGTGTGCTAAGGGTCACACAGGTGTGGGCTGCAGGGGGGTCCCACAGTGTCCGGCAGTCTTTGCTCCTCTGGAGTTCCACGGCAGGTGGCTGGCTGCTGCTCTCCCCGGGTCTCCTCCGGGTCCCCCTCGCGGCGTTCCCCGGTCTGGCGGCGGCGTTCCCGGTCTGGCGGCGGCGCTCCCCCGGCCTGTCGGGCGGCCGCGTGCGTTCCCCCGGCTGGCAGCGGCGTTCCCCAGACCTTACTATTTTGCATTCCCACAGTAATGAAGGAGAGTGTCTGTAGGCCCGTAGCCTTGTCAGCATTTGGTATTGTCACTATTTTGGATTGATTTTTTTTTTTTTTCTGTCACTGCTCTTTGACACTTAAAGCTTCAGCGTGATCCACAGGTGTTTTTTCAGTTTTACAGAATTTAACAACTTTTTAACAATCTTAAAAGATAGGCATGGATTTCATAGGTTTGTGTGCTTCTCTGGGATCTCTCACTTGTAATTGACAAATTGGTTTTTAAATGCTGTAGGAGTTGATCATGGGGAGCTCTGGTGGCCTAGTGGTAAGGAGTTGCCTTGCGAATTCAAAGACAAATGGTTCAAATCCACCAGTTGCTCCTAAGGAGAAATATGAACAGTTTCCTTCTGTGCTATTTACTGCCTCTGAAAACCCACTGGTGGGCCAGTTAGGAGTGATTTCTGACTCAATGGCACATAACTACAACAGGACTTGGTGGAATCTCAATTGAAATATTTCAACAAATGGATGCAGTGCAAGTGGTGTTCGCTTATCTAAGCCAAGACATTCAGAAGACAGCTCCTTGGCCATCAGCTGGAAGAGAGCCGTAGTTGTATCCATTCTAGTAAAAGCTTGTCCAGTGTGATGCAGAAATCATTAAACAATGTCATTAACATCACACATTAGTAAATCATCATCACAGAAAATGTATTATGGTGAACAGTTCTACATGTATAATACAGTGTCATTCATTCCATTCTGCAGATTTAGTAACTTCTCACTCTTCCCAAGTATTCCACCACCATTAGCATAAACTCAGTACCCTGTGAGCAAACCTGTTCCCTTTCTCCTCTACCAGAAGGTCTTCAGTGCAGCTGGGTTTTAGGAACTTTCATCTGCGTGGACTACAACCTTGGTTTGTAGGCAAACACCTTAGATATCTGCATCAGCTAGGTATTTGTCACATTCAGAGGAGAATACTGAATGTTCATTTAGAATAAATGGACGTTTTCATGGGTTGTCTTATGACATATATTACAAGGTTCATAAACCATCTTAGAAATACCATTTTGTTGATTTTTTTCTCATTCAGAATAACATTATTTGATACTTTTTTTTTCTTTCCTCTTTTAGTGGAGAAACCAGGTTGAACAAGGAGAAAATACTTCAAGGTTGGTCTAATCCTGCTATTTTAGCTCTCCCTTAATGCCCCTGTGGTATGTGAGTTAATCAGATTTGGTGGGGCAGGGTGGACTGAGGGCTGTTAAATGAATCAGGATCACAGAATCAAAACATGGCAATCATCAGAAATATGATCAAAACAGTGGGTAACCAAGTAACCAAGAGGAATGATTCCTTATTAGCATTTCTCTGAGTTTGTTGTTTATGGTGGCTTTCATTCTTGATGGATTATTTTTGTGTGTGTTTAGTCTTTGAGCAAGCTACTGTTTGCTCTAAATTAGTAAAAAAACTCATTAGCCTTTTTTAGGAATGATTTGCTCTGAAGAAGATTTTGCATTTGATTTCACACTGACGTGAGAGAATGTTAACCTTCTTACGGGTTTCTCTCGTGCCAGGAGTGTTGGGTTTTGTCCTACCACTTTGCTGTCCTGGGGAGCAGGTTCACTCATTCTCCACCTCCCAGCATCCCATTCTAATAGTTTGGACATCAGCTTCAGTCTTCCCTGTGTTATCAGCTCAGCATATTTGTGGTTTTACTTTGTTCTATTTGCACCATTTGCTTCTATTGTAGTGAAACAACTCTTTAGAGTATCAAATCAGCCTTTCTCTTGGAAATAGAGGATCCAAAACATCTTTTAAATAAAGAGAGAGAGAAGCAAAGTAATACAATTAGCGTTGAGCAATGGCTGTAAAGAGAAGCTAAGTGCAGTCAGTGGTCTGCTGCCTTAATGCAATGACTGCCTGAGTTGGGAATGTAAACTCAGAGGCAGAATTTAAAAAAATGGAGCTAATAGAGAAAAAAGCTCAAGATAGTCTAACCCACATTGTCATCTAATTCTCATCAGGCATGCTTTCTCTTGGAAAAGATTTGAACACTTATGTGTTTCTTAATGTTCTTATGAAGGAAGTATTGATGAAAGACTTTAACAAAACAGAAATTTATTTTCTTATTGTTTAGGAGGCTACAAGTCCAAATTCAGGACTATGACTCTAGGAAAAGGTGCTGTCTCTCTCTGTCCACTCATAAAAGTCCCTGCCTTGGCATCTCCAGTCCTTGCTCCCTGATTTTCCCAGACACTTCACCCCATTTATTCTCGCTTATCTCTTCATCTGGTCTGCTGCTCATGTCACCCAGAAGTAGTAGTGACTTCGGACAAACCTCCTCTCATACGGCCTCACTGACACACCAGAGAAAATCCTTTTTCTAAATGAAATTTTCTCTGCAGATACCCAGCTCCCAGCTCCCTCGTCTGTCTCTGTAGGGCAGTCAGAGTTGGACTGCCTCTTAGGATTTCCAAGGCTGTAAAGCTTTATGAATGTGGATAGCCTCAAGTTACTTGTTAGTCATTTGGTTAGCAACTGAATACTTTTAACCACTGCACCACCCGGGCTTTCCACAGATGGAGATGTCGGAATTCCAGCATGTGTTTTTGAAGGGGATACATTTAATCCATGGCATTGAGATTTTGTAGAAGATAAGCTTATTTTCTCAGTTCTCTATAAAAAGTTATATGGCCAAATTGTAGTTATGTGCCATTGAGTCACCTGCAACTCTGCACAGCACCTCTGAAGCCTGCCCTGTCCTGAGCCAGTCTCACTGATTCTGACACATCTACCCCCATTATTCCAGTCACTATGTAAATCCATCTGGTCTGGGGTCTTCCTCTCTTGTGCTGTCCTTCCACACTTACAAGCATGATGTCCTTCTCCAAGGGCCAGTTCCTCATGGCCATGTGCCCAAAATATGTGAGACAGAGTTTCAAAAGTCCTAGCCTCCATTGGTTTCACCCTCTCCAAGATAGATATGTTTTCTTGGTGGTCCATGGTATGTTCAAGACTCTTCTCCAGTACCACAACTCAAAGACATCAATTCTTCTTCTGTTATCCTTAGTGATTATCCAGCTCTCTGATTCATATCAAGTAATTTTGAAGACCATGGTCTGGATCAGGCACACCTTAGTCTCTAGACTGGAATTGTTGCTTTTCAGCACTCTGGAGAGGTTCCTAACAGCAGATTTTTCCAGTATAATTAATCTTTTGATTTCCTGACTGCTGGTACCAACAGTGTTCATTGTGGAGCTGAGCAAGCTGTAATTGTTAACAACCTCAGTCTCTTCTCCGTCTATCATGGTGCTGCCAGTTGGACCAATGGTGAGAATCTTTGTCTTCTTGTTATTGAGCTTCAATCCATATTACAGTCCTTGACCTTCTAGCAAGTGTTTCAGGTCCTCCACAGTTTCAGCAAGCAGGGTGTGTCATCTGTTGAGTCTTCCTCCAATCCTGATTCCACACTCCTTCTCATCAAGCCTAGCTTCCTAAATGATCTTTTCTGCATATAGATTGAAAAGGTATGGAGACAGGATGCATCCCTGACACACTCCTTTCCTGATTTTGAGCCATGCCATGTTTCCTTGCTCTGTTCTGTTCTGAGGACTACTACCTGGTCCAAGTATAAGTTTTGCATAAGCACAATAAAATGTTGTGGGATTTCCATTCTCCTTTAGGTTAGCCGCAATTTGTTGTGATCCACACAGTTAAATACCTTTGCATGGTCAATGAAACAACAACATTCCTCTGGTACACTTTGCTTTATGCCGAGATCTGTCTGACATTGGCAATAACATCTCTAGTACCACAACCTCTTCTAAACCCAGCTTGTATTACTGTTAGTTTTGTCAGTGTACTGTTCCCGTCATTTCTGGATAGTCTTCAGCAGGATTTTGCTTGTGTGTGATGTGAGTGATATTGTATGATAATTTCCACACTCTGGTAGGTCACCTTTTTATGGGATGGGAATAAATATGGGTCTCTTCCAGTCAGTTGACCAGGTAGTTACCCTTCAGATTTCTTGGTCCAACCTGATGAGCACACCCAGGGTAACATCACTTTGTTGAAATATGTCAGTTGATATCCCGTCAGTTCCTGGGGTTTTATTTTTTTGCCAAGTCCTTCAGAATAGCCTGAACTTCCTCCTTCATTACCCATTTCCTCTTGATCATATGTTGTTTCATGAAATTCTTCTATATCAGCCAATTATTTTTTGTACGGTGACTCTATACTACTTCCATCTTTTGATGGTTCCTGAATCAGTGTTCTGCCCATAGCATCATTAAGCATTGCAACTCGCAGCTTGAATTTCTTTTTTTTTTTTGCAATTTTTTTAAAATTTATTATTAATTTCAGTAAAAATTTATGGAGACTTTGGATTGCCATTCATTCATTGTTATGCTTTTCGCCCCTCCCAACCCTCCCCCCCAGTACACTACCCTCTTGTAAAAGTAAAAGAAAAATTCTTTTGTGTTACAAACCCTCCCCCCCAGGTCCACTCCACCATGTAGCCTTCGCTCTAGACTCCTGTTGTGACAAAAATACCTAATTACATATCCCTTTTAAACAGTTTTCTTCCTCATCTGTTTCATGCGGTTATACATTGTTGAACCCATCTTTCTCAATTTCTCCCCAACCCCAAGGTCAGTTCTGTTTTACAATAGTGGCACCATGCAGTGACTGAGATACTTCACTCAGCATAATGTCCTCCAGGGTCACCCATTTTGAATAATATTGCATGAGTTCCTTGTTTTTCAATGCAGCATAGTATCGTGTGGATATACCAGACCTTCTCTTCCCATTCGTTTGTTGATGGGCACCTTAGGTTGTTTCCAAATCCTTGCTATTGCGAACAGAGCCACAGTAAACATGGGTGTGCATGCAGCTTGAATTTCTTTTTTTTTTTTTTCAATATTTTATTTCATTATTTTTTGTGTGTCCTGTCAAATCAGATCTGACTGGTACAGGAGGAGATTGTTCCTCTTTCTCCAGCTGAGCATATGGTGGATTTGAACCATGCACCTCTGAGACTGTAGTTGCAGCTTCTTTCCACTAGGCCACCAGAGCTTGCCGCAGCTTGAATTTATCTTTAGTTCCTTTAGCTTAAATGCCGAGTGAGTTTGACCCTTTTGATTTTCTGACTCCTGCTTCTTGGATATTTAATTATAATACTTTGCCTTGTCTTCCCAAGATGCCCTTTGAAATCTTCTATTTAGTTCCTTAACTTCTTGATTTGTTTTCTTCACTTTGACTTCTTGGTGCTCTAGTGCAATATTCAGAGTCTCTTCTGACATCCATTTTGGTCTTTTCTTCTTCCTCCTCTGTAATGACCTTTTGCATTCTTCATGGATGATTTTCTTGATATCCTCCCACAGCTCATCTGGTCTTTGTTCATTAGTGTTCAGGGCCTCAAAATGGGTTCCTGAATTGGTGTTTTTTTCAGGAGAGATAGACTCAAGATCAAATCTTGATTTCTGTGGGTATGATTTGACTTCCGTTAGCTTTAATTTGAACTTGCATATTAGTGGTCAGTTCCACAGACAGCACCTGGCCTAATTTTCACAGCTGATATTGAGCTTCTCCAGTGATTCTTTTCACAGATGTAATTGATCTGACTCCTCTGCATGCCATCAGGTGAAATCTATGTGTATGGCCTGCATTTTTGTTTCATATGGCTAACCACCTAAGGAAATCTTTGACTAATAATGCAATAATATACTTTTGTATATGATTTAATTTTTATTTCTTGTGTACTTATGTTAATAATAAATATTACTGTTCTCTCTTAATGCCTCAGGACAAGGAGTAGATGAGCCTCTTTCAGAAACTGGATTTAATCAAGCAGAAGCTGCTGGTATCTTTCTCAGCAATGTGAAATTTACCCATTTATTCTCCAGTGACCTCACGAGGACAAAGCAGGTACTTTCAGAGTCAGGGTTAAGGCCAATGTGTTGCATACCAAGGATAAAGTATTTTTATAATTGTTAATAATGAGACAGACAACCGGGAATGAAAGAAAACTAGAGAGCTTAAAAGGCAATGGTCCAGCAGTTAGAACCCTTTTTCTTTTTTCTCTTTCTAAACCATATTTTAAATTGTAAATCATTTTCTGGGAAGAACACTGTTTGAATCAACACATGCCAATTAAGAGAAAATAATAATTCAGGATTGTGTCTTCCTAAGGTTCTTTGTAAAGGTGACATAGACTGTTTCTTGTCTACAGCTTTAACCTTCTCTAATGTATTATCATTTTACGCATATTCATACAATAATTCAGCTATCTCTCTTTACAAAACTTTTTTATAATGAGTACAGTCCTGCACAGACATTGTTACTGTGCTTATCAAAGTCCATACTGGCCAAAAATCAATAGGAATTTGTTCTTTTTTATATGCTCCTTGTAAATATCTCATAACATTATGCCAAGTTTTTAAATTTAACTGCACTCTACCTACTGGCCTAAACCAGCAACAACGCTTTTGCACATACTGAAACAACTACAAAAAAACCCCTTTCATCTTTTCACCCTGAGCTCCCAAGTAGTTCCTTTAAGAGAGAGATATATTGAGCTTCAGAGGAGGGGTGTCCCCCATAACTCTGCTTTATCAATTCTACCTCTGAATTTTTAATCCATTTATTTCAGAGGGTGGGATATAGTCCCCATGGATTTTTTTTAATTCTTCCCCTGACTTTGTCCTTCAAAGGGTGAGTGATTCCTCATGAAACTTTTTCTGCTTCTACCCTTGACTTCCAAGGGGTGAGGATTTCCTCATGATCCTGCCTTAATTTTCCTGAGAGTTTCACTTACCCTGAACAAATTCCCTTTCGATTTCCTGGTGTCTGCTCGAAAAAGAGAAAGAGAGACCACCACCTTGTCCCTGTTAGGGCGCCAGAATGTTACATACCAAGAGTAAAGTATTTTTATAATTACTAATAGTGAGAGAGACAACCAAGAATGAGATAGAACAGAGGGCATAAAAGGCAGGGGGCCAGCAGTTCCAGTGACTGAAGTGTCTCAAACCACTCATCTCTGTGTATTTATTGAGAATCAGGGGAAGCAAATCATAGAGAATTCTCTTGTAAATGAAGCAGAATTTTTCTCTATTGTCAACCTAATGCTTTAGTTCAGGAAGGAACTATTTCACAGGTATTAAATCTCCCTCTGTAGAGGGGCCCTAGTTGTCTCTTGTATGCAGGAAACAGCTCATTTCCTGTAATCTGTCACAAGAGAAATCCTAATTTATAAGTTTGTAATTCCTTCAATTCCTGAACAAGCATATTTTTTTTCATAAAATATTTGGTATGAAATTTGGCTTCCCATACCAATGGGTCAGAAGTCTCCACTTTTGTGTGAATTTGGAAACCTGCCCCCAGAGACTATAGGGAATGATAGATAAAACACAGACACCATCTCTGCCACACAGAATTTCCATTTTCCTTTTTTTTATTTTGATAATTTTCATATTGTGGTGGCTGTGAAGAAAGTCTCTCAAGAACACAAACCAAGTTATGGGAGAGCCTACAAGAAACATTTGTTGTGAGCTGTTGAGGCAGAACTGACTCATAGCTGACTCTCCTCTAGGTTTTCAGAGTCTGTAAATTGCATGGGAGGAATTTGTCCATCTTTCTCCCTCAGAGCAGCCAGTGGATTCAAACAACATATCCTTGGGATGGCAGTGCAGCTCCTTACCACTAAGTCACCAGAGCTCCCAGCAGAAACACTAGTTATATTGAACAGAAACTTCACAGAAAATGGAGATTCACCCAATGAACTATGTTAACATATTAAAAAAAATGTGTTAGAAATTCTTTTTTATTTCTAAAATTTAAGATATTTTAATTTCTTTTTGTAAATTTATTTTCTTAAGTATGATTTATTTTTTTCTTTTCAAAAAGATCAAGTCAGATTTTCTAGAAGTATAAAAAGACAGTGTTGAAAAACTCAGTAGATGGAGGCTATGTATTCAACCATGAGAAGGTAGCAGGGTTGGGACTCAGCCTTCTTCTATAAACATTGAGAAACGGGACAAAGGATAAAAAAAAGTTTTTAGGCATGGACTTGGGTTAACACGAGTCCATGTCCCAGAATGCAGGGTGGAATGAAAGGAAACAACAAAAGGGAGCCTTAAGATTACCTGGTTCTTTAGCTAAAGCGATTTCCAGAGTGTGAAGAAGGGATGCAGAAAGCACATTGGGCTCTGTGTTAAGGACACAGAGCTTGGTATTTGGAGAAGTCAGGATGCTAATATTTGTGGGACAGAATACTAAAAGAGGGAGCTATGCAGAAAAGAATATAAAAATTATCAGAAGCTGTAAGCTGGCCATTTGTAGAGCCCTCAAAGGGTTGAGAATCAAATATTTTTACTTATCAGCTGGGGAGGGAGATTTTGTTTAGTCAGAAAGGTAATGTATGAGGAAAGAAACAGCTGTGCTTTGATTTTTTTCAGACCATGCAGGGGATTTTGGAGAAAAATAAATTTTCCAAGAATATGACAGTAGTGCATGATTCAAGACTTCGAGAAAGGGTAAGCAATTTATTTACAGATTTCTATTTATCATAAATTGTCAGTAACGACCTTGTTTTCATAAATAACTAAAACTTAAATGTAGGGATTGGAGAATGTGTTAAGAACTTAGAGCATGGCAGACACTCTCATTCGTGGTGTTGTCTGCCTTTAAGTCGGGTAAAACCCAGTGACCTCATGAGCATCACATCTGAACTCTCCTATCCTGTGCAGTCCTCATTCTTCCTGACATATTAGAACCCACTGTAGCCATCCCTGACTCGAGAGTCTTCCTCTCCTTCGTCGACCCTCTGCCTTTCTGAGCATCCTGTCCTCCTCCAAGGAGCAGCCCCTCCTACCAGCTTGCCCAAAGTATATGAGGAAAAGCTTTATGATCTTTGCACATCAAGGCATAACCTGTTTGTTCTTTTGGCAGTACTCTTCTCCAACACTATAGCTCAAAGGCATTAATTCTTTTTCTGACATCCTTATTAATTTTCTAGCTCTCAGATGAAATACTGACCCAATAGCTGGTTAGTGTTCCATCACCTCTTTGTCCCGTGGTGTTGTCTTCATTGCTGCTCTTGAATGCTTCTGACTCTGGTGACCCCCTGTGTGCAGAGTAGGTAGGACTGCTTCACAGTTTCAAGGCTCGTGACCTTCAAAAGCAGATAACCAGGCCTGCCTTTATGCAGCTAGTAGTTAAGCGCTTGACTCTTTGCGCCACCTGTTGGCCCTTAATTTCTTCCCTATCTAGTTGGAAATGTAACATAATAGTAGAGCTTCAGCATGTGTACACACACACCCACACACATTTTTAACTTGAATCTCTTACCTTTCACACTTACATGCCAACTGCCTGCCATTTGTTTTTATTTGTTTGGCCCCAGAGCTCCTTCTAATTTTGTGGCACTCATGGTCTTCCTCTATTGTGCTCTTGCCTTACTCATTTATTTAGACCATTGATTCTAGAACTGCCTTGCACAGCCCCCTTCTCACCATCTTGTTGATTCTTCCATTTAGTACTTCTCCAATCTATTAATTGTTCTCCAGACCCATTGGCAGACCAGTATCATCTGTCACGTACATTACTGCAGCCAGGATTCCCTTGCTTTTTGTGATGCACCCTCTCTTCCAGTCTTAATTGCCACACGGTAGCCAGAAGGTCTGCTTGCTACATTTCTGGGTGGAACAGTTCATACCAGTGTCTTTTCTTTCAAGAGGTCGCCTAGCCTTGACTGTGATCTGTTTGATACTCAGCCTGCCTCGGTGCTTCAGTGTGTAAAGCAGCAACAGTAGTGGGGCTCTGCCAGGGTGCTCACCACATGCCAGCACTGTGCCCGGCAGCACAAGTTTATCCATCTTCACAAAAAGTAGAGAAGGAGGGAGCTGTTTCTAATCTTCACTTTATAAGTGCAGAAAACAAGGCATGCAGAGGTTGAGTCCATGCCGAGGGGAGCCAAGTGACGGGAGGACTCATATTCTAACAGAGACATCAGGGCCAGCTCTAAACCACTGATGATGAGCATGTTTGATATCTGAGTTGCCGAGACACCTGTGCTCTCTCACTGAACTTAGGGATCCAGTTCACTGTTTTTGGAATACGCATTTCCCAGACCTGACCCATTTCTACTTGCCTTTCGGACCTGGCTTCCCAAGTCCAGGGTCCAGCTCTCTCCTGAGTGCTCTGGTGTGCGGTCTCCTTCCCTCATGCATGATTATAAAAAGCTAAGGAAAGATTTATAGACAGATAGAATCATTTTTGGATGGTGAATAGGAATGGGAAGTGAGGGAGAGGGGAGTAAAATGAATAAATAGACACATCTTTGGTCTTTTCATGCTCTCTTCCCAGGTGAAACTGGGTTGTCCTTTTCTTGTTGAAATGAAAATTCTCAATAAATTTTAAAGCTGAGGCCCTTGGCAGATATATCATTGCCAAATCGTTTTCTCTAGTCTGTAAGCTCTTTATTTATTCTCTTGTAGAACTCTTTTGATGTACATACGGATTTAATATTTTTGTTGTGTGCTGTCAAGTCAGGAGTGACTCATCACTGACCTTCAGGCACATTTTCAGTGGCTGCAGATCACGTGGGAGTAGACTGCCCACTGTAACCTTTGAAGCAGCTCATGGATTCGAACTGTCTGTTTGGGTTGGCAGCACAACTCCTTTAGCAGTAGGCCACCAGAGCTCCCATTTAATTATTAGGAGGTGCCAATCATCTAGTTTATCCTCTCCCAATTGCATATTTTCAGTTCTTTTTCATAGTCTATGTCACAGATTGGGGCATCCATATTTGTCCCAGTATTTTTTTTTTTTTTAAATCTGTGTCGTCCCTCCTGGCAACATGTGCAAAGTATGTCAGACGAAGCCCCAGAATCCTTGCCTCCAAGGAGTAGCTTGGTTTAATCCTCTCCAAGATGAATCTGTTTGTTTTCCTGGCAGTCCATGGTACATTCAGTACTTTTCTCCATGCCTTGGTCCTTCAAGAAGTTAAGGAGCTAAACAGCACATTTCAAAGGGCAACTCAGGAAGACACAAAGTATTATCATGAAAAGTACAGAGAGCTAGAGTTGGAAAATCAAAAGGGCCAAGCACGCTTGGCATTTCTTTTCTTTTTTTGGGGTGGGAGGGGGGGGGACATCATTAGACATCTTAATTCTTGAAGTGCAACTTTAATGCTATATGTATTTTGCCATTTTGCTAACATTGCTGTGCTTTGTGCATCCACCATTCCACTGGGATTATTTATTCCATTCATATTAATTTTTGTTACAAATCTAACCAGTGGAGGAGCTTCTGGATATTTAGGTCCACATTCTACTCTTAGGCTATAAATTCTGTTTTCATAATTTGTCCTTGATGGTCCAATTCCTGTAATCACACCTTGTAAGTGTCGTATCTTCATCATCTTCAAGGCCCCAGCTATCTGTACCATCGCCTACTCCTTTTTGTCCTTCTTCAAGTTCTTCCAACAAAGGAAAATTATGAGGAACTTTCACTCCTGTGGAGACTGCCACCTTCTCCTGCAGCTCTGCTTGGCATTTCTTAAGTTAAAGGAACTGAAGAACAAATCTTTGAGGTGAAATACTTAAGGATGCTGTGGGCAGAATATTGAATGGCCCAGGAAGCATCAAAAGATGAAAGGAGTATACAGAGTCATTTTACCAAAAAGAATTCGCTGACACAGAAAAATGTGCCAAAACATTAAGTAGATAACCATTTAGTGGATGGATTTACCTTTAGGTTCCCAGTTTTATTCCATTGACCTATGGATCTGTTGCTGTAACAACTCCAAGCTCTTTTCAGTTACTTTTTCCGTCTCTTTGAAGAATGGTGGGGGATGTGGATCAGATTGCATTGTCATTTTAGACCTCTTTTGGTAGACTTGACAAAAGCATGTGCTCATTCATATTTTAAAGTTTGTGAAATTAAAAAAAACTATGTGCTCATATGTTTTTCATTGAAATATTTAAAATGTTGGTTAATTTATGCTCCCCTGAGTGATGAAGGAATGCTTGTTGTCCTATATAAGCACTAGAAATGACTGTTAATCTTCTTGCTCTTCTAGCTTAAGAGAATACCCTTTAAATTTCATTATTTCTTCCTCAATGAGCTTGAAGTTGTTCCCTGTGTTTCTTAACCATTTGTATTTCTTTTGTGATAAACATGCCTATTGTTACGACTACCATGTAAAAATGACTCTAGAAGCTCATGAACTTTGAAGTTGCGTAGATGTGGATAAGTGTTACAAAACTGTTGCTAATTTTCCCCAAAACTTGGCTTTCTCCTTTATAAAGTGAAGCTGAAAGTACCTGTTTCACTGATCAATTATGAAAGTCACGAGAGATAGATGTGAAGTTAATATGCCCGATCTGGTGCCTTGCTGTGTGTTAAGTCTTTATTCCTGGAGTTTGGGCTTATCCCTGTTCCATTATTCATCCAGTTAAAGTCCCATCTTCTACTTCAGTGAGCTGGTCCACATAGCTCACTCACTGTGACCTCGTCTACAGCTCAAGTTATATGATCATTTACTCAGTATATTTTTTTCCATTGCCAGTTCAGAAGAGTTATGATAAAATATCTGGAACGAGACTTAAGTTTGTTCCAAATTTGCTACAAGCATGTGCATTTTCATTTGAAAAAATTTTATGTATTGAATTATTGCAGAATTATGGAGCTGCAGAAGGCAGACCATTGACTGATCTAAGAACAATGGCCAGAGCAGCTGGGGAAGAAGTTCCCAAATTCACACCCCCCGGGGGAGAGACCTTAAATGAGGTACGTTGCAAGGGTACAGGTTGCTGTGTTGGTGAACTTTCTAGTGTCAGAAATCCAACTCATTTTAAATGGAATGTGTCTAATCAAACAGTTTGAAAGTTACTTGGTTCGTAAAATAAACTGTAATATACACCACAGTATGATTAATGAAGCTATAGTATTTTAGTATACAGTTAATACATAGATTTTTATTTTTTCAGTGGCCAGTTTTTCAGAAGCAGAGCATTAGGTGGACTTGAACCTTTATGGATGGACTCAAACTTTTCGGTTAGCATGCTTAGCGTTGTGGTTGAAGCAATCACTGTTAGGTGTAGTAGTGGTCGTCTTAGGTAGTCAGGGGGAAACGTATGATGCGGCTCGAGAAGAATAGGTGCGATTCTATAAAAAAAATCTTTGAGCCTCTACTGCCTCTTCAGCTATTAAAGACAGCATTTCTTTGACATGTGCTTTTGAATTGCATTCTTGGTGATTTGCCCTCCTCTGTTCTTTGTTAATATAATTTTCTGGTAAAGACTTTCTATTAATTTGTGAAACAAAAGTTAAGATGAAGTTTCCAGATGAATTTTTCGTGGTTAGTGCAAGTTTGAGTTGCCATGTATGTGTAGATTCCCCTAACTGGGCTATGAGTGCTTTGAAGCCAGGAATTAAGATGTATGTCTGTCTCTGTCCTCAGTCTCCTTTCATTGTTCCTAGTATGTGATATGGTTAGTGATGTTTTGGGGACCACTGAATGAATAGAAAGGTAGACACAGATCCACCTGCTTATGCAGTGTTTATATAGGCATATTAATAAGTCAAATCAGTTCCATTTTATGGCAGTCATCAGTGAAGCTTTTCTTGAGATCTTTCATCTTTCTTTCTCTGTAGGTGAAAATGCGTGGAAAAGACTTTTTTGAATTTCTCTGTCAACTGATCTTGAAGGAAGCAAGTCAGAAAGAACTGTCTTCCAAGGAAGCACTGGACAACTCTCTGGAAACGTCTCTGGCAGAAGTATTTCCTTTAGGAAAAAACTATGGCTCTAAACTGAATTCAGATGGCAGTGCCCCAGAATTAGTAGCCAGTGTCTTAGTTGTGAGCCATGGAGCTTATATGAGAAGCCTTTTTGGTTATTTTCTAGGTGACCTTCAGTGTACCCTGCCAACAACCATAAGCAAATCTGAACTTGCATCAGTTAGCCCCAACACGGGGATGAATCTCTTCATCGTCAGCTTTGAGGAGGGGAAAAAAGTTAAGCCAACACTTCAGTGTATTTGCATGAACCTGCAGGATCATCTACGTGGAATGACTGACACACGTTAAGTTTAAATCTGCGTCAGAACCCAAGTTTTTAGTCTCTGAGAGTGTGCCTTTAGCTTTAATTATGCCCTCTGCTAGTGCTGTTTGCAAACGGTTAAGAAGCTTTTTCTGAAAGCAAGTTACAACGTTCACATGGAACAGTAAAGACATGAAACACTAATCATTTAGAAATTGAAAATCTTTTAGAATCTGTTTCTTTTGTCTTGGGTACAGTTGACTGTTTTATTTATTTATTTTTTATTTATTTTATTTTTTATTTATTTTATTACCCTGCTTACTGACAAGTCTAGACTGTAAATGGCTGGGAGAACTCCTTGCCAGACGGGAGACCAATAGCCGAGTCTAAGAGCTGAGCCTGTTGCATTTGCTCTTGGTTAGATCTATGTGTATTTTTATTACCTCATTCAGTGTTTTGAAGAAAGAGCTTTTACTCTGTACTTTTTCTTCATATTTATCATGATAAAATGTTATATATTTAAAAAGAATTCTTTCAGATGAAAAATCCATACCATCATAAGCTTATATAAAAGAAAATGACACTAAAATATTTTATATAGAAATCAACTATTGTTTTTGTTACGTGCTGTCCAGTTGCTTGTGACTCATAGCAACCCTATGTACAAGAGCCCTAAATTCTGCTCTATCCTGTGCCAACCTCACTGTATCTGACACATCTACTCCCATTACCCAAATCACTGAATCGATCCATCTCATCGAGGGTCTTCCTCTCCTGCGATATCCTTCCGTTCTCCCAAACATGATGTCCCTCTCCAAGGACTGGTCCCTCCTTGCAACATGCCCAAAGTATGTCAGACGAAGCTTCAGAATCCTTGACTCCAAGGAGCAGCCTGACTTGATCCTTTCCAGGACAAACCTGTTTGTTCTCCTAGCAGTTCATGGTATATTCAATACTCTTCTCCAGCACCACAGCTCAAAGGCATCAATTCTCTTTCTATCATCCATGGTTCAAGATAGAGTGATCAAATATTGAAAATTGATGAAATTTCCTTGTTTCCCCTAGTTCTACCTGGATGTGGAGTCTGCTTATAAATGAGGTGAAAAAAACTTTGAATATTTTAAAATTCTGATAAACTCTTAAAAACTATTTTATCATCCCTAGGCATTGTCTAGCTCCCTGACTCATAGCACACAGTTGTGAAGACTGTAGCCTGGATCAGGCACACATTAGTCTCCAGCCTGATATTATTGCTCTTCAGTACTCTGGAGAGGTCACTGACAGCTGACTTTCCCAATGCAATTCATCTCTTGATTTCCTGGCTGCTAGTACCCAGAGTGTTGACTGTGGAGTCAAGCAAACTAAAATTGTTAACTATCTCAACCTCTTTGTCATCCTTACTGATGCTGCCAATCGGCCCAGTGGTGAGAATCTTTGTTTTCTTGATGTTGAGCTTTAATCCGTATTGAAGGCTGCAGTCCTTGACATTCTTGAAGCAAGTGCTTCAGGTCCTCCTCAGTTTCAGCAAGCAGGGTTGTGTCATCTGCATAACAGGTTGTTGTTGAATCTTCCACTAATGGTGATGCCACATTCCTCCTCGTCCAGCCCATCGTCCCAGATGATCCCTGACGGACCCCCTTCTTGATGTTGAACCATGTAGTGTCTCCTTGCTTTGTTCTGACGACAGCCTCTTGGTTCAAGTATAGGTTTCACATAAGCACAATCAAATTTTTAAAATTTTTGTAATGATTGAATGAATTGGAGATAAAGGCATATTAGGATTGTATTAACGATCTGGCAAAGACCAGAAATTAAGATGTCACTATATTAAAAATAAAAATGTAATCTATAAACAGAAGTTTTATGTAAAAGATCACCTTTTCTACACAATACCAAAATTAATCTCTCTGACAAATAACAGTGGTGAAAGCTAAGAGCCCTTCCTAAGGAGTCATTAAGAATAAAGTAAAAAAGAAACCAAACCTAATTGGTCATTATCTAAACTGTTGACTGAAGAAGGCTATAATATAGGTCTGTTGCTTTTCTAGAGAAAGTAAGCAGTTAATGATACCCTATATAGTAAATTGAATGAAGGAAGAAGCACCTTGAAAACATCTGAGGACTACAGTGCTATTTTGGGCCGATTGCATCTTCTTGCCACCAGGTGGCACTGGAGGAAAAGTTTTTATTCAGTTTGTGTTGTAATCAAATAAAATACTCAGTCTTGTTCTGTTTCTCTATATACCTGACATTACCAGTATTTTCTGCCAGTATGGGCAGTAAATGAAAACTTAAAAAAGAACTAAAAATACACTCCCACCGTCCAGAAATAGTAATCGCTAAACATATTTTTTATATTTGCCTTTTAATAAAACTTGAAGTCTTCTCTGATCAGTTCTCAAAGTCCCATTTGCATCTTGTGCAGTGAGTTTGTGTATTCTTCCACTCTCATCTAGCTCTTAGAAAACCTGAAAATAATACTTTGAAAGGAAAAATAATGTTCACTGCAGAGTTGTCTTTATTTTCTTAAAAAATATGAAGTGAACACTTTTTTTATATCTCTCTTTGAGTCAAAAACTCCTACTTTTCATTTGGTCTAACAGTATTTTCAATTTCTTGTGTTGCCACATCCTGTCATCGTCTGGTGTTTGCTATTCTCGTGAGTGAAAGTGGTAACTCATTTTAATCCCTTTTCCTATTACTAGTGAGTGTGGACATTTTAAAATTCAGTTATGTAGTGATTAGGATTTCATAAGGATCTCTGGTGACATTTGGCTGTTAAAGCAAAGGCCAGCTGCTTAAATCCACTGTCTTCCCAGGAAGAAGATGAGGCAATCCCATCCCACCCCACAAAGATTTGCCGCTCATGGAAGCTGATGGAGGACTGCCATGAGTCGGAACTGGTCATTGCAATATATGTTTGGCTTTTAAAAAGCTTTTATCTTTTTTGGTTAGGGATTTGCGTGCGTGTGTGCGCATGCACCCCCCCCCCCTCGAGTTGTAGGAGTATTTTAAATACTCCAGATACTAGCTCTTTTTCAAAGGGAGTGCTGGTAGTGTAATTTGTAGACAGGCATTATGCTGCTAATCCAAGGCTCCTCCAGTGATTTGAATCCACCAGTGACTCCGAAGGAGAAAGGCTGTCTCCTCTTGTCAGTTTACCGCCTTGGAAGGTCAGCTATAAGTTGGTTCTGACTCCATGAGAGTAAGGGTCCTCTCTCTGTTGTATTGATTACAGTTAATGGCATGGAAGGAGATTTCCCATCCTGTGGAGCAGCTGGTGGATTTGATCTGCGTGCCTTTGGCATTGCAGCTCAGCTTCTTGCCACTAGGCCACCATAGCTCCCTGATCTTTTTATTATCTCCATCTTCCCATTTTCTAGATTGTTACAGAGTTGGAGCCACTAGAGATTTGCATCTTTCACTGAGTTGTATGCATTTAAGGTTTTTCCTATATCTTCACAGTTTCATGACTCATTTCCCCCCCACCCCGATTTTATTTTGTTGAGGCTATAACAGCGAAAACCTATACCAAGTCAACAATTCCTAAATGGAAGACTGAGTAACAGCGATTACACTGTTTGTTTTGTATAATCATTGTTACCTTTCTTTTTCTAAGTTCTTTCATTGATAGACTGTTCCCTAAGGTTCCTAATCTGATCTTTTTGACCCCATATAGGTCATTCTTAGAGCATTATCTTCAATGCACATATTATTTGATTTTAAAGTGACTTTAAGGCATAGTTTCGGCTTAAAGTTTAAAGATACCCTCAGGGCAATAATTTCAGGGATTTGTCTGCCTTTGATGGCTCCAGAAAGTCCGTAGTCAATTAATTGACAATTTGAAATTCTAGCCTGCATTTCTACCTTTTTGGTTAGAATTCTGTGGTATCTTTGATAAAAATAATTCAGTCATGGTAGACAGACATCATAATTTGATCTCATGGCAAAAGAAGCAAGCATTTGTTCATGGAGGCTAACTAGCCACACATTCCATATTTTCCTGTTCTTGATTCTGTAACTGAATGATGCTCCATTGTATTGATGTACCTCTGGGAGAACATCTTCATTCTCATTCCCAGTTTTTTTTATAATAATGAATAAAGCAGCTAAAAACATTCTTGTGTAGAGTTTTGTGTGCAAGTTTTCAACTCATTTGGGTAATTGCTGGCTGAAATGTTTTGCTAAGACTGCTTAGCTCTGTGAAAACACTGTCAATCTGCCTTCCAAGGTGATGATTAGGTGCTGTGGAGTCCAGTATGACTCAGAGTGACCCTATGAAAAGCTGACCTGACCCTGCCCTACCCTGTGCCATCCTCATCTCTGACATACTAGAGCCCTTTACTGAAGTCACCATGTCAAGCCATCTCATTGGGAGTCTTCCTTTCTTTCAATGATTCTACATGTTTCTATGCATGATGTGCTTTTCCTAAGCTCTATGACCAACATATGAAAGACAATAGCTTTAGGATCTTTGCTTCCAAGGACTACTCGGGCTACACTTTTTCTAAGACATCCTTTTGTTCTTTCGGCAGTCCATGGGATATTCAGTACTCTTCACCAACTCCACAACTCAAGGGCATCAATTATTCTGTCATCTTTTTTCATTGTCCAGTCATCTGATGCATAGCCAGTGATTGAGAAGACCATAGCCTGAATCAGGCACACTTTAGTCTTCAGACAACATTGCTCTTCAGCATTTTGAAGAGGTCCTTTACAGCAGACTTGCCCAATGCAATATGTCTCCAGATATTTACTGTTGGTACCAGGGTGTTGATTGTTGATCCAAGGAGGGTGAAAACATTGACGGCTTCAATCCTTTCTCCATCTGTTGTAGCCAAGCCATTTCCAGATGGTCTGCTGCCTCCTCATCAATTGATAGTTTCAATGTTTTATGTTTCATTCTAATAGGTACATGAGGTGAGGGCAGTGGATTCTAGAGGTAGGTTTCTCACCTGGATTGTATCTATTCTATCAGATGCTCCTAAGGCAAAAAGCTAGGATGAACATGAACCTAACTTAAGAATTTCCTTTCTTCCAGGAACTA